AGTCTTGTACAAAATATTTGTCCCCAGTAGGAGCCTTGCTGAGCACGTATTGTGTATTATAAAGTGGAAAAGATTATGTCTCCATGGGGAACATTAAACTGACCATCTAAGTATGTTTCAGCTCTGACATCAGAACAAAAGAAGAAAAAAAATTGATTTGAGGAGGATTTCTTCAGAATCTGCCCTGAGAAAAAAAAAATAGATCTATTACTTGTTAAACTGTCTACAGTGAATTGCAGTAGAATATTTCACCGACTCAGACACAAGCAGCTGAATATTTTTAAGTTAGCTACAAATGGTTATTTTATAGCTTGACAAATATCTAGGTTTTTCTCAATAGATCGATTTGTTAACCTAGTCTGTGTGAATTTGTGCTCTTTTAGGGTCCCAAGGTCAGCAGGGGGGGCAAATGGCAGCAGTACTGTCTGCCATCTACCCTGAGTCACTTCTTAATGGTGCTGGATGTCTTGGAAAGAGAAGTCGTCATATTTACACCTGTTTTCTCACCGTCCTCTTCCCCATTTTGCCTGCAGTCGTTCCGTACATCTCTCCTCCATGCCTCATCAGCCTTATTACCATCCCACTCATGTGAGACTTTCTTCCTGTTGACACGGACCCATAAATAACTTCTTCCAGGCCCGTTGAAGGCAAATTCATTCTCATCAGCGTGCCGACATTATCAGTAACATCACCACGCTGATCATCGCCTTTTCCCTTATCTTCCGCTGTCATAAATTATCAGCTGCATTACGTGGGATGAGCAGCATGCTGGCATGAAAAGGACATTTTTGTGTGTGATTAAATTTCTCCTTTTTGAATTCAAGTTCTGGTGGAAAGGAGCAAAGCTACAGAGAGCAGCATCAATCAAAAATCAAATCAATTTGTGTTTTAGTGCCATACGTGTTGGTCGTATCAGCTTGTCGTTTATAGTATGTCAGGCAGTCTGCATGTTGATATTTTGAAAAACCAATGTTTTGAAAAGCCAATACTATACAACAAAAAAAGGTTGAATAATCTGACATGAATTAAAGTGCATCAGTCAGCAACCACTGAAACGCATTTAATCTGAGCAGCTTTCAAAATCAAGGCAGGGTTTCAGCAGAAACTGTGATCATGAATGGATTATAATCGCTCTCCACTCTTTCAAAGACATACACTTTTATATATTGCTTCCAGATTTATTGCCACACAGGGGCTGCACAGTGGTGCAGTTGGTAGCACTGTTGCCTTGCAGCAAGAAGGTTCTGGGTTCGATTCCCGGCCCAGGGTCTTTCTGCATGGAGTTTGCATGTTCTCCCTGTCCATGCGTGGGTTTTCTCTGGGTACTCCGGCTTCCTCCCACAGTCCAAAAACATGACTGTCAGGTTAATTGGCAATAAATAAATCTCAATATTCTCCTTGAGTGTGTGTGTGTATGGTTCTTTGTCTTGTCACTGGAGATAGGCACCCCTCCTGACTCCACTAGGCATTAGAACCACATCCCAATGTAAAAGGATTCCTCCAACTCAATGTTAGAGAGCTGCAGCATAGAGTTACCAAGTCATTAGGATCCACTTACATGTTAGAAAAAACAAACATGTGGAGCTTGCTGAATTCTATAGAGATGGAGAAACTTAGAGCAAACTTTCAGAGATAAATGCTCAAGATGGGAGCGGTATTAAGCAAAGTGAATGCCTCTTATGAGAAAAACGTGTTTCATGCCCTCTGTTAGATACAGTCACTGGGAACCTTACTTACTCATTGAAAATGCCTGGAGATTTTAAATCATCATCATCTAAATTGGTCAGTATTTTCTCTTTTAACAGGAGAATAATGACATAATTTCTTCCATGCCCATCTTGGGCCCTGGACTTAAATCCAGCAGAAAACTTTTACAATAAGCTGAGGAGTTTGTATATGAGGGGAGAGATTTCACAAAGAGGATTAGAAAAACATGCAAAGTATCACCGCAAATCAAGTAGAAGTAACTTTTTCTTACCAATCAGTTACCTTTCAAAACACTTACAAAGAGGCAACCCTGAAAGTTGATCAAAGCTTCCCTGCTGTGTCTCTTCACATCAAACTGGTCGGAGTAAAAATAGTACCACTTGCTAAGACTTTGCTGTTTTAAAAAAAACTTTGTTGTTATGACATGCTGAGTCAGTTTTGCTTCATAGTCTCTCACAGATCTGCTATTAGGATGAATTGTTCCCTTTGATTAACTGGAAAACCCAGATCCAGATCTTCCAAAGATGTGAGACAGACCAACGTTCCCAACACTTCCAGTGCTTCCAGTTTTTCTTAATTAATTTTTCTGTTTAATTTAACAGTGGGAACAATGTGCAGAATTAAAAAATCATTTTTCTATCGAGAGCATAAAAATGCTGACCAGTGTCGCCCATAATAAAATCATCAGACTCTAGAGGAACACACTTTTCCATTAATAATACATTTGCTGCATGGAAAAAGCTCAGAAGCAAACGTTTTCCTGTTTTTCTGAACTATTTTGTTGAGCTGCAATGTAAATAACAAGATTGAACCTTACATGGAATATACTTGTGAGTAAAATATTGTGAAATTGGTGTTGAAAACAGAAAACTAAAACACTTGCTCAGTGATGAAATCCATTCGCCCATTTTCTGTGCTTGCTTCATGCTTGCAGCAGGTTCACAGAGCAGCTGGTGCCTGTTTCCAGCGGTCACTGGGGAGGAGATGGGGTGCACTCTGCACGAGCCGACTGTAAATCTCAGGGCAACACAGAGACACTCCAGGGCAAACAACCACGCATTCATTCATAACGTCATTTCTAAATGCATTTTTAGAGGCCAGTTAACCTAACATGCATGTCATTGGTCGGTGGAAGGAAACTGGACAGACCTGTGCTTGCACAGAGGGAACAGGCACAGAAAGGCTGAGATTTGGACCGCCCAATCAGATTACTGCCAACGGTGCTGCTAACCACGGCACCACCATGCTGACTGATGAAATCCTAAAATTCCTTTCCAGTAATTGTATTAGAGTAGCTGAAATGATTGTTTCCTGTACGGTTTCCACTGTCTCCACAGCCTGGTAAGCTAAATTAAACATAGATGAGTTTCATCTGAGCCCACGGCAGTCTCAGTAAGCCAAGCCGCTATTAAAGCAGAGCTGGTGGTGACTCTCTGTCTTGTTCATCCCTTGATCCTTCTGCCTTTTTCATCTTTTCAGCATTTTCTCAGGCTTATCCTTGTTTTTTATTTTTTATTTTCAGCATCTGTTTTTTTTTTCCTCCAGAAGATCCCTTTCCCCTCTCCTTCAAGTTTCTGGCTCCCTCTTTTATCAGATCAAATATTTATGAATTCATTGGCTGCCGGTTGAGGCTGCTGGCGTGGTTTAACACAACACTTATGAGAGTTTTAGGAAACTCACCATGAACAGAAGTGAGGAGGATCACAATGTTTTTGTTGCTTTTAATTGCATGTTGAAACTCACCATTATCAAACAAGACATTAAAGCTGAATGTACCATGGAGAACAAATTCTGATATAGCAGTGAATACAGTAAAACTGTTGCTTTTTCTTCCTTTAACTGACTCAGAGTGATTAGTTCTGTCTAACATTGGTCATCGTCCTTGAATGTGTGTAGCTAGGAGACCGAGTGGCGATTTCTTCTCAGTGATCACCAAATGACTTTACATGAAGAAGGCGAAGCTCAGGGAGTCGTGTCAGCGTCAGGAATTCATTCACTGCTCACTTTCTCTGCAGCAGAGGCATCCAAAATGTGATAAAGAGCCAAAGAGCTTTTAGACAGGAACGCGCAGTGCTGTTCAGTTAGCTGCCCACTGTAATCACTCTGTTGTGTAAGTATGTGAACCGCATTCTCTGAGAGGTGCTGCAACAACAATAATGCACGGCTTTTACAACGCAAACAAAGAAACTTTCTGAGTCATTTCAGTATTTTTCAGTACAAAGCTCAGATCAAAGCTCAAACAAAGCTCCGATCTTCAAACCACATCAATCAGCAATCTACCCGAAGTTACTTAAAGTAGTGTGGAGTAGGAGGGAAATGAATGTCTGGTTGAAAACTAACAAAGCACATTGTCATAAACACTCTATCTCCGTGGTGAGACATAGTGGTGGCAGCATCATGCAGTGGGGATGCGTTACAGCGCAGATGCTGTTTGTTTGTTGTGTAAATCCCACTTGCTCAATAAAGTTTATTGTGAGAGCGGACACGGAACCATTATGGAAGCAGATTACAAAATAAGGGCATTAAACTTCCAAGTTAAAAGGACTGAAGCAGAAAACCAAACTGTCAACATTTTTGTCAAACGTCAGTCGACTTAATAGTTACAAAACATCCAAGTCAATTAACGCTTCAGAATTTATCCAGAAAATGAATTTAGGGGAAGCTAGGTGTGCTAGAGGCTTTCAAAGCTATAGCAAAAACGCTAGAAGTTAAATTAGCTTTGCTATTAGCGCATTAGCGTAAAGCCACCACCACCACTGGCTAAAACTGAGGATTTGGTTTTCTGTGTGTTAATTTAGTTCCGTGTTGTCCCACCGTCCCTTTGATTGTCTTCCCTGTGTATTTAATCCCACCTGGGTCATTCTCTGAATTCGGTGCATTTTGTGTCTGACAGGTTTATCTAATAGATTTTCATATAATTCAAACCACATTTTTTGAGAAAATCAAGAATCTGTATCTGCGTTTCCCTGTCGTGCTTGTTGTGTCATTAGCCGTGTACCTTCCCAGTGCCACCAGTGTGTTTGAGTTCTTATCATTCACCTGTGCTACCTGGATTTCTGTTCACCTTCCTGTTTATTATTAAAATCATCATTTCTCACAACAACTTGGGTCCCCCGCCTCCACCACCAATACAGTCATGACAAAAACAAATCTAAACCAAAGAAACAGCATCAACTAGCTGACAAAATATGTGTGTAATTTTTTTTATTCTAACATATAAAATTTTTATAATTTAAGTTGTTTTTTCTTAAATCAATTTTGGACACACTTTTGTGTTTTTCTCTGTCATTCAGGAATGGTTGGATCTGCGCTGCAGAGGCGTCCGCAACGCCAACGCTTACATCCTGGTGTACGACATCTGTTGTGTGGAGAGCTTTGAATACGTGAAAATGATCAGACAGCAGATAGTGGAGAACAGGTACACTCACACGTTTCCCCTCCCTTTCTGATCTACATCCTTTTCACTTCATTGCTTAAATAAAGCTACCTCGTCTCTCAATTAAGCGCCAGCAACAAAGCTTTTTAGTGTAACAGTTGCAACAAATATATGTTTACTCTTTCTGTGGTGGTATCTTTTAATTTAGCACCATCCTCCTTGAAAACTGAGCCACTTTGTTTTGACATTTGATGCAGCGCTTCTCCACGAGCGCTGTCTAAGGCAAAACCAGCAGTTTGAAGATTATGTGGGGGATATTTCTTCTTTTATTTCACATGAAGGGAACAACGGGCGAAAACCAGGGCGATAAAATACAGATCCAAAGTCTCCTGAACGGCTTTGTGTCAACATACGTGAGGCTAAAGGGCTGAACATCAAGGATCAGAAGAAAACATGCTTTGTTATCCACAACACTGGCACACCTGAATATATTTCCATATAGAGAGGGACTTCATTTGTTTGCCGTGTAGTACATGACCAAGCTGCCAACACAAAGTCCATCCTCCCCTCCATGTTTATAGTGGGAGACAGAAACCCATTATAGGCAACGTGCAGGGTGTATGCCAGAGGAATCCCAAGCAGGAGAGGCGTGTTTTCACAGGACACAGATCCCATGTCAGAATGAAAGAGACTCGCCAAGCACCAGGCGGGGACCAACCCGGTGTGGAGTTCATGAATAATGGAGGTATAGAGGGTTTCTCTCTCTGTAGCTCCAAAAGAACAAAATGTTGGGTTGAAATGATCTGACTCTACAAAAATCTGCTGGAAACCAGAGCAACGCTGAATTTCCTCTCTTGTTTCTGCTGCCCTCTAGCATGACGCCTTCCTTTAGTTCACCGAAGCATCTGATGGCGTTAGGTCCCTTCCCACATGGTTTTCATAAGAAGACATGAATCCAAACACTTCCACGTAGATTGTTTCTCTCCCTCTGAGAAATCAATGATTTGTGAGATGATTTTTAGTTTACGTGAGATTACTGAGCACTGCCTCAGGGCTTGAAAAATGAACTGTGCATCTGTCTCTTTTTTATGCAATGCTCTGTGTCAAGCTATTGGTCTGTGAAAGCAGGTGTGGAAATATGCACTCACATGCGAATCATTGTCAGAGATTTACACCTAATTCGGGACAAAAAGATCTTTACTCATTAATAGAAGAAAAGATAAATTAATGATTCATCAGTTTTTGCAAGATTTTACCTCTGCATAATCCTTGCAGTCATTTAAGCAGAAGATTTATTATCTGATTTAAAAGCTTGCAGAGGATTTCACTCCACTAATTCTCCAAATCCGTTTGTTAACTTGAATAAAATGTGTAGCTCCAGCTAAAGTAATGCAAAAGGATTTTATTGCATTGAATTAAAATTTATTCTAAGTAATCTCTATTTTTATTATTTGACTGACACAAAGGGTCCCTAAGCCAGCAACAAGATTCTAGTGATAATGTTTCGACCTGAGAGCCTACAACACAGGTTCTTGGGTTGTGCTGCAGGACTCAGATTTATAAAATCCAGCTTTGGTCCGACATTTACATGCAGTAATCTTCAGCATGAATTACTATAATTTGGGGTTTATTTGTCTTGTTTGTTTTTTTTTTTTTTGTGCGAAACATTGATCCAAATCTGAAGATTGGGGAAAATATTACAAGTATTTGCCTTTTGTGCTGCTGGATCGTAGCCAGGTTACAAGATGAGCTTAAAGATGTAAAAAAAAGATTGAACAGGGCCAGGAGTAAAATAAACAGGCATTTTACTGAAAAGTGAAATAGAAAAACATTGAAAAGTGAAAGAAAAATCCCTTGAGATTATTATGGGCCCCAGTGACATTGAAAGTCAGCAAGACTGTCCAGATAACAATCTTTCTTATCAGTTTGTTCTTTTTGGTGCTTTCTTGCAAAGAGAAGTACATCTTAAAGATTTTTTTTTTTGTAGTTGTTCTTTAAGCTCTTCTCTTGCAGATGTTGTCTTTTGTTTTTAGAGTCCAAAATGAAAAAGTTACTGTCTTACTACATCTGATCTCAGCTGTGTGTGATGGTTGATGCAAGTGGTCAAGATTTTGCATCTTAGCGGTGCAATAACATGAAAAGACAGAAAGCTTTTCTGCCTTTGCCACAATGGGGTCATCATGACACTGTGAATGCCTCACAGAAAAATAACATGAAAATGATATTAAACCTTAACCAGAGTCTAACTTTTCAAGGCGAGTGGTCTGAAAATGTCTACTTTATTCTTTGTTTGGTGCTCCTGTTTTATTCCAGTCAACCTACAACGTGGTTATGACTATCCAGCACAAAATGTGAATACTTGTGTCAACCTTCATGGTTTTGGGATTGGGCTGAGGAGTGTACAACACAAAACCAGAGAAACCAGGTTTTATTTTGCAGTCATCAACAATCTTGTGACATGATCCTGGTTTGGTATTTGACCACTGTTCTCATCAGAAATGATTGAGTTCGCTTGTTGGCATGGACCTGACTTTTAATCATAACCTGTACATTTTCATTATGGTTGAGGTCATGGCTGTTTGAGAAGGTCTATCCTGGTTTATCCATTCCAAAACTAGTTTTCATTTTGTGTTTTGGGATCTTTGTGCTGTTGGAACCTCACCTCACCTTGGAGATAGTTTTCCAGGCACTTTGTGAAATGGAATAAAACCACTGTCAACGAAACAGCTCTAAACAGTGTGATGCTGTGACCACTGTGCTTGACAGCTGGTGCGTTGTTTTTAGGTTTAAAAGCTTTATAGCTACCATCTCACTCATGTCAAATAGTTTCATTTCTTTCTAGTTTGGACATTTGGAGAAAATGTCTTTTTTGAAATTTTCAAATTTTAACCAGTCTTAAAAAAGTCCATTTTAGAGCATTAATTTTATTTTTGTTTTGCTTCCTTTCAGTCTATGAAGATGTCAAACTGGATTCACTTCAAGCAGCTTCTGGTTTATGGATAATAATCCAATAATTTGGATCAAATAATTGAATGTTTTCACATCTGGGAGTTCCAGCAAGACAAAGATCCCTAAAGGAAACCAAGAGGTTTTAGATTGTGCTTAAACACCAAGTCTGTGCTCAAATTCATCGCCAGATTTGTGCATGGCATTGAAATCTGTCTGCAACTTGCTAAAATATATTAAAACCTCTAAATGTTGTTCTTAAAGTTCACAGAAGCGCTACCTTGGATAATCATTTTACCCTAAAACAATTACCTTAAATAAATAATTTAGCTTGAAAATTTACATGACCCCAACGCTGAAGATGAGTCGATTCAAACGTCTGACTGGAACTGCATCCTAAGGCCCAAATGTACTTCATTGCTTGCCATATGTTTTCATACCCAGTAACACTGTAAACCAACTAGAGGGAGGGCCCTTGAGCCAGTGTGCGCGCCACTCTTCCTGTCCACCCCCACACACCTCAGAAGATGGGCACACACACACACACACACACACACACACACACACACACACACACACTACACAGTGACAACAGGTTTGACAAACATCAAGCTGATAGCTGTGCCTTCTGAAACCAACCCCTCCTTTTTTTCCCCCACTTCACATTCTCCTTCAGGGAAGGCAGCAGCAGCGAGGTGCCAATCCTAGTGGTGGGTAACAAGCGGGATCTGCAGAGGCAGCGCTTCATGCCCCGCAGGGCCGTGTCAGTCCTGGTGAAGAAGACGTGGAAGTGTGGCTACGTGGAGTGCTCTGCCAAGTTTAACTGGCATGTGGTCCTGCTCTTCAAGGAGCTGCTGGGCATCGCCGTGGCACGGGGCATGCGCCAGAACCATACCTCCACCCGTCTGCAGGGGGCGCTACAGAGGAACCGGTGCACAGTCATGTGACCCCGAGAGCTTCCTCCACCCCTTCTCGTGGCCGTGGTGGAGCAGACCCTGGAGAAAAGGACTCTTTATCGTAATGGCTGGAAAAATACCCCGTGGCCTCCTGCTTAACTGAGCTGATTTTTCATGAGGTTTATTTGACTCTGCGCTGTAACAGACTCTGAAATTCCACACATGCTCATCCAACCACTTCCTAGTCTAATCCTGTGTAGAAAGGAGGAAGCCGATAGAAGCAACAGCAACTTGAGATCCAACAGAGTTATGTTTTCACACATCAGCCTGAAGGCTAAACATTTCAGGCCGGGTCTCCGAATGTAACACGACTCATACATCAGGTCTATAACCGGGTCGGACAGCATGAAAGCTGTGTTTGTAAGACTCAAAACCAGAGAGGCAGCAATATTATTGAGTCTTCCTTTTGGATATGTCATATTCAGGATGGTGAAAAGGCACAAGTACAGATATGACGCATTAGGATTTACTTCGAGATACAAGGCCAATAATCCACAATAGAAGATGACAAAGATAAAGACAAAAACAAAGGTGCACGTCACTGAATATAATCAATAAGCTTATTAGATTCAGTGATTTAATTCAAGAATGAAAACCCATCTATCACAAAGATTCATTACACAAAGAATGATATATTTCAAGCGTCTATTTTCTTCAAATTGGAGGATTCTGGATCCCGGTTAATGGAAACACAAAATTTAGTTTTTAAGAAAGTTTGAATATTGCACAAGAAAAAAAATGTAATGCAGAGATGTCAATCTAATGAAAAATATGCCCTATACTATACAGTAAAGGCAGTCAGTGCGTCTTTTTTCATAAATTACAGTATAAATGTCAAACGGCATCGAGGTTACCAACATGTGGTTCTGCTAAGGTGTTGAGGAAGTCCATGTTGCTCTAATAGGGACATTTCGCTTGTCTGCATTGTTGGTTCTTGTGTCTCTTATCGTTTTGTTGACAATACTCAGAAGTTTCTCTTTGGAGTCTAGGTCAGTCGCATTTTGATTATTTAAGCAGGTATTGCTATTTTTAGCAGTGATACCAATGCCAAGTCCTGCTGGAAAGTGAAATTATCTCCATCGAGCTTGTCAGAATAGGACATTATGACTTTGGATTTAAGTAAACACAGTGGACCAACCCCAGCAGATGACTTGGCTCCCCAAAATGATAACTGCCTCTGGGAACTTCACACTGAACTTCAAGCATCTTGGATTCTTTGCCTCTCGACTCTTCCTCCAGAATCTGAATCCTAAACTTTCAAATGAATTTCAAAATCTGCCTTCATCTAAACAGAGGACTTTGGATCAGTGAGCAACAGTCTAGTGCCTTTTCTAGTCAGACTAGACAGGATGCTTCTGTCAGGAGTGGGCTTATATGCTTTTCTTCTTTTGGACACATGATAGTCCACGTCTTGAGTACCCACATATATGACTGGAGACTCTTGAAGCATTAACTTCTACTGCTGTCTACATCTTGTGAATCTGTCCTTAACTCTTGAATGCGCTTCACTTTACAATCTTCTCAAGGCTGTGTGAAAAATGTATCCGTTCTCCACGCTAAGTTCTTGATGTATGAGGTTGAAGAAGAGCCAGTGAGTTGAATTCATGAATTCCATTTATTAATACCAAAATACAGCTGGTCTATTTTTTCATGCTACCTTTAGGAGTTAGCAGGACAAAATGGCAACAAGCAACAGTTGGTCACTTCCTTTGTTAGCCTCTGTCTAAACTTCCCTTAGCTTTGAAGGTGTTTCCTTCATTTCCTTTAGCTTTAACTTTGCAACTAGTTAAAAGAGATAAAAGAAAAACACAGAATTATTTATTCTCAACAGCTGAAAGATATTTCTTTTGCTTATGCACCGTTCTCAGTCACCCTTTGTCATTACACTCAACTTTCCATTAAATGCTTGGATGCAGCCGTTCTACGAACAGCCAACCTTTTCGGCTTACTTTCCAGTTACTGTTTGTTGAACAACGATCACGACCACACCAAAACATTTCTGTGTTAGAAAATTAATTTTTATTGCTGTTTAGCTTACTTCATTTTTTGAGAAGCAAAAGTTTCGATTTTTATTTGATGTAAGCTACAATCAACCAAATTAACCAAACTAAATGCTTGAAATATATGATACGGAATGTAGTGAATCTATATAATGTACAAATTCCACTGCTTTAATCGAATTGCTGCAATAAATCAAATCTTCTAGAAAGGTTTTCTTCAAATGTACATAGATATGATTAGGTCTATTCTAGGTCTGATGAATTAGCCTGCAATAGACATTCTTTCCCTGACTCTGTTACAGATTAGGGTTAAGGTTGGGTATTTTAAGGTTGTCTTGCAGCAGAAAACACTGCAGTCCCGTATTATGACAAACTGTGCGGCTTTACACTACTGTCTGCCCTCACTCAGACTCTGTTTCTGCAGAGTATATTGAAACTAGGGACGTAGGGACATGCAGGAGCATAAAATAACCTGTGCTAGCATCGTGGTGTGTATGTATGTGTGCTTAATGTACTGTAATTGTGGGCCCTGACAGATGTGTGGGGACCAAAATTCTGGACCTCAGTGGACGCTGGCATCCCCATGATGGTAGGTGTTAAAGTGTATGCAAGTATCTGTGTTTGGAGGAGAGGGCAAGCCAAGGCAAAGGGAGGCGGTTTGATAACTGACTTTCAGGCAGGTAAAGGACAAACACAGCAAGATAGGGAAACAGATGTTGATGCTTTGGATTAGAATGGAGCAATAAACCCCTGCAGCGATGCCCTCAACCGACTACACACCAATATATCATATTGAAAATGCCTCTTGCGGTCGCTGTAATCTCTGTGCAATGCACTCTTGCATCTTATAAAAGTGCATAAACACAGCTCAGTGGCTCCTACATGTACCATCCAGGATGCAAATGGATCATTACTAAAGCTTTAACATCACTATCGGAATAGCGTCAAAATGGCAATGTTGTGAGCAGCTCTTATTTTCTTTTGACTAGATAAAGGTAGGTACTTTGAGAACACATCTGACAAATTTGTATATAAGAAAGGCTCCAGAGGGATCATCTTGCATGCTATTGTTGGTAAAATCCAACAGGTCAGGGTTTAATTGCACTGATGTGAAAATGTGATCTTGTGTTTAATTATTTTTTTGTACTACATGGTTTCCTGACTCCACAGTGAGCAGCTGAGTGTATGAATGTTATCATTTTTCAAAGGCATGTGAGAGCACAAGCTCATGATTTCCTCCAAATGTAGTGCTAATCCTTCAGTGGGGCCAGATGGTTGCATTTTTTGTAGTAGTACAAAAAAAAACTGAGAGAAATATGTAGCAGAGAAATGAGAAAGCAACTGTGTGTAGCATGAGTTCCCATCCGTTTGTGTGTGTGTGTGTGTGTGTGTTTCAGAATAAAAAGGGCTACTGTTTGTTTCTGTTTTTTTCAATCTGAAACCTTGTCTTTATTTTTAAGGTGTTGGTTCTCTGAGTATTTTTTTTTTGACATATGATGAATAAATAAATGCATTTGAGAACGCCAATCTTGTTTGGATTACTTCTCCATCATTTGCAATGATTGTGACAAATTAAGCATAATTATGACAACAATGCCATCTTGTGGTAAAGCAATGCTATCTGGAGCCAGTGCAATGGGAGACAACAAACTGAGCATCTGATGAAAACCTGCCTGACATTCATATCTGTCTTTATTAGTCAGGCAGACTAGATGATCATTTTGTTACTTGATTTGGAGAATTTTTTTCATTAAAGTCTTTGCAACGTATTATTTTTTCTAACTTAATTCTACTTTAGACCTCTTCATGGTGCCGTAGTGGATTAAATTTCAGTAATAACATATGATTGTATACATAAGGCTTGACAAAAATGTCCTCTATGCATATTATTTTGTAGATATAAATTTAATCGAGAAGAAGTCAAGTCTTGATTTTTGAATTATTTATCTTTTCCCTCTTCATTAAGACCAAGTGCGACACAATCACCTCCATTTGGGTTTAGATATTTTCAGCTGTAATGTGACTTCAGCTTCTTACAAATTTACATTTAGTTGAAATTAGAACAGATTTATTTCTACAGTTGGTTAAATAAAACCACTCAAAACTGTACTGATTCTTACCGGAAAGCAGATCATTTGCAGAACAGAGAACCCTTAGGCTTGTTATTGAAGAAAATGTGTGACTGCTTCTCTCTTTTTTTTGTTATATTTCCATGTAGCAAGAAGAATGGTTCAAAGGCATAAATTATAATTATGATTTGTATGTCCGGGATGAGTGTACGTAAACTTCTGACATTAACAGTAAGTTAATAAGACAGAAAAATGTAAAAGTGTACCATCACCTTTGCATTGTATTCAAATGACAAATGGCAGAAGACCAAGTGCTGATAACTGATATAATTAATAAATAACTTTTAATGGCAGTGAAACCTTCATTATGGGTTAGTACAGGGACAAACTGTACTTTTCCCTATATGGCGTCCTGAAATGTCTTCAAAAATACATCTGCGTGGTGGTCACCTGACCGACTTGAGGTTAGGAATCAGAATCCCCACGCACGTCAAATGTTTATTAAGAATGTGTAGATGCACCGTCACGTGGTGCAGCTCTGAATCATAGACTGGACCTCACGGAGCTGTCGCTCCCATTCAGGCGCCGGGGCTCGGGCAGCGAACACCAGCGGCCGCTCCCTCTCAGAAACGCTGCCTCAAACAACTTGGATCAGTCGCCATGGCGATAACTGCTCTTTTACTTATGGCTGCAACCGCTTACAGGGAGAGCTTGTAGGGAATTTCCTCTCTGTTAAGCTCTGTGTCCTGAATCCGCAGCTGTCTGCATCAGCAAAGTGTCTTGGCATCACTTCTCGTCCTTCCTCCGGAGTCATGTGAAAGGGGTCCAGGGTGGTTGCTCTCGCCGTAGACCGAACCCTCCTCCCCGTCTGCGAGGACGTTCTCTCCCCGACAGCCGCAGTGGCGTAGTGTCCCTGTCTCCGCTGCCCCCTCCCCGGTTCGGTCCGGTTTATCAACCTGCGCCTCTTCGGCGTACGGCGGAGCCGAGGATGAGCGAGCAAGGGAAGGGCTCGGCATCCACCTCCACCGCGGCCCCAGCTCCGGGGTCGGACACCTACAAAGGCTGGCTCTTTAAATGGACTAACTATCTGAAAGGGTACCAACGGCGATGGTTCGTCCTTAGCAATGGCCTACTTTCCTACTACAGGTAATATATTTATTTTTGTGTGTTGGAGTGCGGGATGTGAACGCACACAGAGTGTCATATTTCTGTCGGCGCATCATGACAGCTGGCTCCCTCAGCTGGCTAGCGGCGGGCTAAAGCTAGCTGTCAAACGGGCAGTCTGTTTACTTCCAGCTGACGGAGGGCGTAGTGTTTTCACTTTGGCTGAATGTATGTAGGCTGTGGATAACCTGAAACAGACAAAAAGAGACATGTATATCTATAGCAGCATGTCTCCTAAGATAATATTAATGTCAGAAAAAATAAGGTTACCATAGATACAGACGTTAGCAAACCAAGCTAACCCATTAACCCCCTGTCCTAAACTGTCAAGAGCACTAAAAATAACTTTTAAACCCCATTTGTTTAGATAACATTCTACACTACTACACGCCCCCTCTCAGTTATTATTGTTGCATCATATTAAATTTAAGTTTAATATTTTTTTTGTTTTGATTTTGCTAAGATTAATTTGGGACTGATTTTTATTTATTTATTTTTATTTTACTGTCACATACATTTTTCTAAAAATTAAAAGGGAAATTCAAATTTGTTTGAATTCCCTGTATCGTAATTCACACAATTTAGGAAGTAGATGTGTTGCTTGTTAAATAAACGTGGGGCAGAGATAAAACTGAAGCAAGACTGATATGATTTCAGTCTAGACAGAGATAAATAACTCAAAAGACAAAAATTACATTATAAAGATAATTTAAAACAAATCCAATATAATATTTTAAAAAGCTCAACTTTACAAAATCTTTTTGTATTATCCTTCATTCAACCAAGAAGTCCATTGAGATTAACAGCATTTGAAAGTGAGATCTGGCTGAGAAGGCACCAGAACTAACAAGTTAGAAGCTAATAGTTTCTCATTGGAATCGAAATATGACAAAAAAAAAAAAAAAGATGTAGAGATGCTTCCCTTTCCCACCTGTTGCTGTACACCTTTAGTCAGCCTGCTGAGAAAAACTACTCTGGTCCTGTTTGAAATATGACTTTCTTGCAGTTAGGCTGAATTAACTTCATTTGTCAACAACTTAGAGTTGACTGCAAAATTGTCCTTTTTGTTTCTTAATTTAGCTTATTTTAATAAAAAAAAGGGTCAGATTTATTTGAATTCTCCCTGCCAGATTTAATTAAACTGAAATAACAAAACAAAGGTTTGCCTGTTAACAAATGAAAAGTACATAGAAAGAGATCAAACTGAAAAATAACAAATATGATTCACCTAGAACATCATTTTAGATTAAAACAAGACTGCCAAGAACCCACCTGATGCCACATAGGCATCAGGTGGGTCCTGTTGTCAAGGTATAACAAAACATATTTATTATATTTTAATGAGATGCCAGAGAAAGTGCTGGAGTGTCCACAGTTTGATACTTTGGAGACTAGCAAAGTAAAGTGCAACCTCCTCCTTACCTGATGTGCACACTTATATTCAGCTGCATATTTTCTATCTCTTTTAATATTAGAATAGCTTAAACTAAAGGTAAGATATTTTGCATAGTATGCAAAGCACTGCAGAATTTTGCATGCATTTATAGTTTATGTATCAAACTAAAAATAGCGACATGATAATGTCATAGTTATAGTAAACATTATTTAAACTTAATAATTGTTGCCTTTTTTGCTTTAAATAAATGATCTTTGATCATGATAAAACAAAACCTCTTGTGTATCAATGAGTGACAGTGGTTTATTTTAGTAGTTATTTAGAATGACTTCATCCACCTCAGTTCAATTTAAAAAAAATATTGTTCAAATATTTGTTCAATGTTATTCAGGTCAGACTTTCATAATAACTGGAAAATGGTGTCGGCTAGTAAAAAGCTTGATTGATTTATTTATATTTGTAGATATTTATAGAGCCATGTTACTTTTAAGGTTCCGTTCATTTATTGCGTTGCCTCCCTTAACTGAGAGTAGCTGCTTCATTGTCTCAATGTAATAAGATACGTGACTTTATGTTGCTGCTAATCATCATTCTGCCTTCACCCCATTCTAACAGCTGCTTCCTCTTGCCGAACATCACCTATACTAGAGACACACCTGTGACTCTCTCTGGTGAGAGAGTCATGTTTCTGCAGGCATGGATGTTAGTAGTTAAATGTTGCTTAGACATGGGAAAAAAAGAGATGACGATCTATGTGACATCCATATGAGGGTCAAGTGCTTATTCAGCTCAAAAGACTCCTGTTTGTCTTGTTAAAATTTACTTTTAATAGGACAACTGTTAAAATCATCAGGTTAATGTACAACCTCCACGCAAAAATAACTTTCACATTAGAGACAGAAGATTTTTTCACACACAGCTTTCAAAATCTTAAATGTGCTAACTTTTGACTTATGCTTGATACTTGATTTTTATCTACATTGTACCACTAGGTTGCATCTCGCCCTGTTGTTTGTCCTAAAGTATTGTAACACTTATAGATTTTACAACTGAGGTGCACTTTAATTACTATCCGCAGGTTTAAATCATATGAAATATATGACTCTGATAAAATAAACATTTAAATCCACACAGAATGAGAAACATTATCTGCAACAGTTGTTGTCCTGCCTCATCCAGTTCCCTAGTTAAATGATTCCCAGAGAAGGAAGAAGCAGCTCAGTGGAGGAAACCTTGGTCTGTTAGTCAAAGCTGTGCCTGGGAAGCTTTGAAATGGAAATCCCCAAAAACTCGCAATTGTGCTGGGACCTTGGCGATGAAGTAACACAAACGACACAAACACACCCAGAATAAGTTTTCTCTTCAAAAGTCAGGTGCTGTAGTTGTTTATGGTGTTTTATAGTGTCATTCTGTTAAACAAGAAACTACCTATTGTTCTTGCAGCTACCCATTTAAACCCTCTTCATCTGATTCCATTCCAAGTATTGCCACCTGCCTTTTTGTTGTCATCAACATGTTATTTGGTGGAGCAGTTGCACAGCCAAACTCTCCTGCCTGTAGTTGCGGTAAAGTGAAAGATACCTGTTGCCTCGCTCAGCATTAATAGTCCATTATGTTATAAGGTGACCGCCCCCTCTGAAGGAACGCTAACCTGTCAACGTCTGAGCACAGACGCG